AACAAGAACAAACAATTTACTCCAACCAAAATAAATAGCAGATGAATAAACATTTAAATCAAGAAATCATTTACGAACAAACTAATGCTCAAACTAAGAAGAACCAAACTTAACGTCCATAATTAATTAACTTAAATAGGATCCCCAACAGACAGACTCCCCTGCTGGCACCACCAAGTTGACCTCTCCCACTTCCTGTCAGGTGGACAATGAAAAGGCCATCTTGAGGGGCGCCACTTCCTTTTAATCAGGGGAGGCCTCGCAGGGATCATGCAACAGAAAGAAAAAGGTAAAATAGAATTAATACAAGCAAATAACCATGATGACAGAAAGTTAACTAAAATGCATGCACTCATTCAGAAACAAACTGTCCAAAAAAAGTGTGTGCTGTATGAAAACAAAAGGCTATGTGTAGTCATTATCTGAAATGTTTGAATGTAAATACTGTTAAAAAGATAAGGAAAAAGAAAAGTACTAACACTTTGTGACATGTGGTGCAGCCACCACAGTAACATAAAAACTGAGGTAGGTTTTAATTTAAAAAAACAACAAAAACAAAACAATAATAAAAGAAAAAAATATATATATATTTTGGACTCACTGCCAGTCTGTAGGTATTTGCCAGGCTACTTAACCTATATAGCATGCTGCCCCACATTGATTCCAGTGTGCATTCATGAAAGACTGGATTGCATTTATAATAAAAGAAAAATAACACAAAACAATTACACAAGTACTCCTTTCTAACATAGACTGTAAAAAGTGGACGTAACTACCAAGACATCACCCACTGGTTTGTGGACTCCTGTTTGGAAGCCACGAGTTTGGTGATTTGGCTGCCGCCATCTTGGATTTTTGGAGCCAGAAGTGACCCGCTCCTGTTCTGATCTGGGGTTGTTATATGTAATGTATGTCACCAGGGTTGTTGCAGTGGTAACCACGCCCTAAAACATACCCTGCTTTTATCGTGTATTTTACATTTTCAGAATGTTTTTTACAATATTTAATGCACCTCAATGTTGAAAGTATTAATGATTGTACTTTTATATTTTTATTTTCAACGGCCTGTTTTAGGCAATGTTTTATAAAATGTTCTCTTTGTGGCTGCCATTCATGCATAAAAGATGACAACTAAAAAAAACTAATTTTCAAAAGAGCTGTGTTAAAGTGTGTTTTTGTGTTTCACTGCTGAAACATTATATTGTTATGCAATTGTTTCTTCACATTTTATCAACCTTGACCACATGTAGTGCTCATTCCAGAATGGGGAGCTGCAAAAAGCATAGTTAACTGTTAATAAGTGCATAATAAAGGATTTATTAAGCTTAATAAGGCACTGTTCTCACTTTAGATCTGGTAGCTGCAAAAAAGCATAGTTAACTGTTAATAAGTGCATAATAAAAGATTTATTAAGCTTAATAAGGCACTGTTCTCGCTTTAGGTCCGGTAGCTGCAAAAAAGCATAGTTAACTGTTAATAAGTGCATAGTTAACTGTTAATAAATGCATAATAAAGTATGTTTTAATCTTAATAAAGCAACAAAAAAATCTTGGTAAAGGTTTAACAATAACATAATATGTAAGTTAGTTAAACTCAATAAATGTGTTTGTGATGCTATTATAAACAATTGAACTCATAAGTCTTTTATTAATGTTCTTAAGCAGTCTATAAACTGTTAACAAGTTTCTTATAAGTACTTATAAATGTCTTATAATCTAACAATTAACATGTTTATAATGCTATTATTACCACTTAAATAGTCTTATTAAACATTTAATAATGTTGATAAGCATCTTATAAGGAGTTATAAGCACCTTATTACATATTTACTAACGATTATTACAAGGACCTTAAAGCGCTTCCAAAACTTTCATCCTGAATGACTTTTTTTACTTCATATTCTTTGGATTTTCTTCTGTTGACGGAAACCTGGCTTAAACCAGGTGAAAACAGCGCCTTCTCAGAGATCCTCCCATCTGGCTGTTCGTTCTTCAACTCCCCACGACTCTCTGGATGAGGGGGGGTGGGGGTCTTGCTGCTGTGTTTAATGACAGTTTTAAATGCCAGTTTCTTCCCACAAATACTTACGTCTGTTTTGAGCTGCAGTTGTTTGTGGTGGAGCTCATAAGTCTGGTGTTATGTGCTGTTGTTTATCGCCCTCCCAAATATAATAAGGACTCCATTCATGAGTTTTCTGAGTTTCTAGCAGACATTCTCTCTAAATATGATAATCTCCTGATCTGTGGGGACTTTAATGTTCATGTTTGTTGTCCATCTGATCAATTAGCAACTGATTTTAAGAGTCTTTTGGCAACTTTTAATTTAGTGCAATCAGTGGATAAACCTACTCACCATCTTGGACACACCTTGGATATTATTTCTTCTGGGCTTTCGATTTCCCTCAAAGAGATTTCTGAGACAGCTATCTCAGATAATTTCCCTATTATTTTTGAGGTTATAGCCCCCCCATCTGCCAGCAAGCCTCTTGCCCCGTCCTGTTGTCACCGCATCATCACCTCCTCCACGGCTGATGAATTTTCTGCTGCATTTAGGGACTCTCAGTTTTCCACATTGACTGGATTGGTTTCCCCCCTCGACCCAGATAACGTGCTTTCCTCCTTCCACACCACCTGCTCCGGGATTCTGGATTCTATTGCCCCTTTTCGACAAAAATCTGCCAAGCCAAAAATGAATCCCTGGCTAAATGACACCACCCGTGCCATTAGGCAAAGGTGCAGTCAGGCAGAATGAAGGTGGAAAAAGGACAAACTACATGTGTCTTTGGAAATATTAAGGGACTGTTTTACTGATTATCAGAGGGCTGTAAGGGAGGCAAAATCTCAGTATCTCTCCAATATTATTTCTACCAGCAGTCATTGTCCCAGGGTGCTATTTCATACAATCAATTCTGTTGTAAACCCACTTACTTCTACTGTGACCGATGCCTCAACTACCACTTGTGAGAACTTTCTTCGCTTTTTTGTTGACAAAGTAGATTCTGTTAGACAGGTAACCAGCAAGAGCTGTAATACGGTTTTGACTGCTATCCCAGCTCATTCTGTTGTGTTTGAGCAGTTTGAACTGGTCTCTCTTCCCTCCCTTGCTGATATAGTGAAATCCCTGAAGCCTACAAACTGTTCACTGGATGTTGTTCCTACCAGAGTGCAGAAATCAACTTTTAATACTGTGGGGCCTAGTCTTTTAGTTTTAATAAACACCTGCCTTGGTTTAGGAACTGCCCCAACTGCTTTTAAACATGCCGTAGATAGGCCCCTTCTTAAAAAAACCTCATCTTGAGCCCTCAGTGTTATCTAACTTCAGACCTGTTTCTCATCTGCCTTTTCTTTCTCAAGTGTTAGAAAATGCTGTTTTTAAACACTTGCAGTCTTTTCTAGAAAACAACTCTGTTTTTGAAAAATTCCAGTCTGGGTTTAGGTCTCATAACAACACTGAGTCTGCTCTGTTAAAGGTGCACAATGATATTGCGCTGTCTGTTGACGCCAAGTGCCCCATTGTCTTAGTGCTGCTTGATCTCACGGCAGCCTTTTACACGGTTGATCATACAGTCCTCTTATCATGCCTGAACCACTATGTTGGCATTCATGGCACTGCACTTAAGTGGTTTATGTCTTATTTATCTGATAGAAGCTTTTCTGTAATGGTTGGTGACCTGTCCTCCTCTAGCGCCTCCCTCTCCTGTGGGGTCCCACAAGGTTCTATTCTTGGCCCTATGCTTTTTTCATTATGTTATCACTTGGGTCAATTATAGCCAGATACAATCTATCTTTTCACTGCTATGCAGATGACTTGCAAATCTATCTGCCATTGAAGCCAAAAGATAATAATGCACTAAGTTCCTTACTTTACCGTATTGTTGATATCAAGAATTGGTTAACTCAGAATTTCCTTCATTTAAATGAGGATAAGACAGAGTGCATTGTGTTTGGAGATACTGGGACGACCGGCTTGGGTGCCTTGTCTTCTACATGTAGCCCTATGGTCAGAAATGTGGGGGTAATTTTTGACAACCATTTGAAATTTGATAAACAAATTGACAATGTTGTTAAGACAAGCTTTTTCCAACTACGTCTTTTAGCTAGAGTTAAAACATTTTTAAGCTGTCATGACCTTGAAAAATCTATTCATGCTTTTATTAGTTCTAGACTCGACTACTGCAATGTACTGTATATTGGCGTCTCCCAGTCTGCTCTTAGGTGCCTTCAACTTGTGCAAGATACAGCTGCCCACCTTTTAACTAACACTAACAGACGAGAGCACATTAGTCCTGTCCTGTATTCCCTCCACTGGCTCCCAGTTCGTTTTAGAATTGATTTTAAACTTTTAATGTTTGTTTTTAAAGCTCTTAATGGTCTCGCCCCATCTTATTTATCTGAGATGCTAACTGTCTGTGAGCGTGGCAGGGCTCTGAGGTACTCTAACCAGCTCGTGTTGAAAGAGCCCAGATGCCTGAATTTATATACAATTATATTAAAAAATAAATAATTTGTGTTTTTGCCTTCAAGCAGATGCTAAATTAAGTGGAGATTGTTAATTTGACTCTAGCACACAGAACAGATAGAAATTTAGGTATGATGCAAATTAGCGACAACAGGCATCACCTTAACATTAGTAATAAACAGATAGTAAGATAGTAATAAAACATTTTCCCATCTCAGGTATATGATTCATTGCATTTATTGCAACAAACAAACAGTTGAGCTGTCTTTGCAGTCTCATTCATCAAAATTGCACTTTGAACAGTGTGAGTGCGTGTGTGCAAGTGAGTGAGTGAGTGAGTGAGTGTGTGTGTAAGTAAGTGTAACACAACAAACAGCTGAGCTGTCTTTGCAGTCTCATTCATCAACATTGCACTTTGAACACTGCACTTTGAACACTGCACTTTGAACATTGCACTTTGAACAGAGAGTGAGTGAGTGAGTTAGTGAACAGTGTGTGTGCGTGTGTCTGTCAAACAGTTGAGTTGCCTTTGCACTCATGTCTCACTCATGAAACTCACGGAAGCAGTTATTTTTGTTTAGGCACAGGTGAACATTACACTTTGAACATTTGATCACTGTCTGGCCCTTGCAATTTGGGAGTTTGCAGCGTTGCCGCACACTTTCAACCTCTGGCCAGTGACCCACAGCATCTGAGCGGACTTCCTGTGCTGGAATAGGCTTGGCTGGTCCTCGATATCTCTTCTTTTCAAACTCCCTTTCCACATCTGATGAAGGCCGACCCCTCTTCCTTTTGGACAGATCCTTGCCTTGCATGCAGAGTGCCTGTGCAATGGATGTTCTGAAGGAAAGCAAATCCTTCTGCTTCTTCTGTGGAAGACCAAGTGATTCACAGTAACGCTGATACAACAACCAGCTGTTGACGATGACCATATCCACGAAGTGAAAAAAGAACCGATGGTAGTACTTCTTTGACCTGATCTGGATGCGGTAATAGGCAATCAGCGCATCAAGAGCATCAACGCCGCCCATGAACTTGTTGTACTGGCTGATGATGCTTGGACATTCCACTGGCACTTTCTTTTTCAACTTTCTGTCCCATCTTTCCACAGTTGAAACGGGCTGGGCACTGGCAAAAGTGCTGGCAATGATCACCCCTCTGTTGTCAAACCATTTCACAGCTCTTATTCCCACATTGTCCACAACAGCCTCTTTTTCCTCAAATGTCCCTCTTCCTTTCTTCTTCATTCCTGTGTCTGAACTGAAACTGCATCCTTTCAGACGCCTTTGCTGCTCAGTCCCAAGGGCTGGTATCCCTTTCTTTGCAAGTGCAACAAGCAAATCCACTGAGTAAAACCAGTTGTCAAAGTAGAGCAGGTGATTGACACCACCATGAACGACTTGTGCAAGCTTTAGCACAATGTTCCCGCTTCCCCCAATGTCTAGTTCTCTTGGTGCAGGATCAGTTTTCCCTGCAAAAATGTCAAATGAGTGCACCAGCCCTTTTGTGTCACAAAGCACTAATATTTTATATCCCCATTTGTATGGCCTCTTGGGGATATATTGCTTTAGGCTTGATCTGCCTTTGAAAGGCACCATTTGCTCATCAACAGACAACATTTGATCTTGAGGTAGAGCCTGGAATTTGGGGAGAAGTGAATCAATAAGTGACCTGATTTTGAAAAGCCTGTCACTGTTGTCGGGTGCCATGTTGTCACTGAAATGGATGAAATGTTTTATTTGTTCCCATCTGTCTCGGGACATGACATCAGCCACCTGTGATGTTCGGCATGCAGTGGACCAGTACATCCTTGACCTTGGCAAGTGAAAAACACTCATGTAGACTAAAGTGCCAATAAACTGCTCCAGTTCAGTGCGTTCCAATTTGAGGGAACAATTTGGATTTGTTTGAGTGCAATACAGATTGCTTTGCTCCACAATTGTGTCTAAAAGATCTGCATCAAAAAAGTCTCTGAAATACTGAATCGGCAGTCTGATTGCATCGGCATCTGGGAGAGCATTTTGCCATTCCGGAACCTCTTTTGCAGAGTTCTGTTGCCTCACCGTCTTCCAAACTGCATTTTGTCTCTTTGTTTTTGATGTAGCAGCTGATTTCTCTCTCGCAGCAGTAGCACTGGTGCTAGGAAGTTCGTCTCCATCTGTATCATCATCAGCACTGCTCCTGTTGTCAGTCTCATTACTGCTTTCTCTGCTGCTTTCATCACCTGGTGTAAAAACAAACAAAAAAAAAACAATGAAATCACTATTGAAAAGTGTATATACTACAGAAATGTTTTATTTATATTATATATACAACATGTACTCAGGTTACATTCACAAATATATGGCCAACAACAAAAAAGCTGAAATTCTATACTATAATATTGTAGTGTTATAGCATTATTGCTGCTATTTTCATCACCTGGGTTTGGGATATACTCGTCATCGCTGTCCCCACTGTCACTGAGACAGCTGTCTTCACTCTCCTCAGGTGGGACCCTGGTTTGAAGTCCCGTTTTCAGTTTTGCGTAAAACACAGATGGATTCATTTATGGCATTTCTGCATAAAAATAAAGGGCAGAAATTGCATTTATATACCAGCATACTATTCATATAATGATTATAGAAATAGAGTTTTTTTTCATATAGAAAATGTGTGCAAGCACTGAAAGCCATCTAAATATAGCACATAGTACGCAGATGGCTAAATATAGCATCTAAATATAGCATTAGCCACTATAGCTAATGGCTATAGTGGAAAACTTGAAATAACTTCAAAAATATCCGTCACAGGTAGTCTATACAGATATTTTAGCTGTAGAAGCAAACAATAAGCTGGCGTGTATATTTATCTTAGAGCAACTTACCTCAAATAGGACAATTTCTCTGTTTTGGCTTTGCATATGCGATCGCGATGAAACCGGAAATGTCCGCTTCCTTCAACCGGATGTTGTTACGATTTTGAACGGTCCCCCAAGGAACAAACGCTTGCAAAAGGTTCCTAGGTGCGTATCAAATATGCATGAACCGGCATTTGGGGAACACATATATTATCTTGGATGCATTCTGAATGGAAGCGGTTCGTCGTGAATTCGCGACAATGGGCGTCAAGGGGCTAAATACAAACACTGGGGTGACCAACCTTTTTCTGTTGCCACACCCAGGCTCTGGAATGAACTCCCCACTGACATACGTCTTGCCTCTGACCTGAGCCTCTTCAAATCCAAACTTAAAACTTATTTATTTAGGATGGCTTTTAACACTCAGTAATGTTGTGACACTCCTATTTTATTTTATTTTATTTTATTTTACTGTTTTATCCTTTTATTTGTTGTTTTTTATTCATGAATCTGTTGTGTGTTGTGTTTTTAATTTCTTGTGAAGCACTTTGATTCACCTGTGGTCATTGTAAAGTGCTATATAAATAAAGTACATGACGTTTGTCAGATACTGCTGTCGCAAAATTTAAGGAAATGATTACTTCATCGTTAAATTTAATACCATGTCCTTCAGTGACAGAGGTTTTCCGTACCGTACCGTAACTCTCCCGAATTGATCATCTTATCAATAGCGCCGTAGGCTCGCTGCGAACAACACTGGACTCTGTTGCACCTCTTAAAAAGAATTTAACAAAGCAAAGAAAGTTTGCTCCTTGGTACAACTCTCAAACCCGTAAGTTAAAACAAATATAGTGAAAATTTGAAAGGAATTGGCGATTGACCAAACTGGAAGAATCTCGTTTAGTCTGGACAGACAGTCTCAAAATGAGACAGGGGCCTCTGCAATGCCAGAGCAAACTATTATTCAGCTTTAATAGAAGAAAATAAGAACAACCCCAGGTTTCTTTTCAGCACTGTAGCCAGGCTGATAGTCACAGCTCCATTGAGCCTTGTATTCCTTTAGCCCTTAGCAGTAATGATTTTATGAGCTTTTTTAATGACAAAATTCTAACTATTAGAGGCAAAATTCATGACCTCCTGTTCTCAGATAGTAGCTATCTAACCTCAAACACAGCTGTAAGACCTAATATATATTTAGATTGTTTCTCCCCAATTTCTCTTCAAGAATTGACAGCAGTGATTTCTTCATCTAAATCATCAACGTGTCTCTTAGACCCCATCCCAACTAGGCTCCTTAAGGAAGTCTTTCCTTTAGTTAACACTCACTTATTAGATATCATCAATATATCCTTATTAACAGGCTATGTACCACAGTCTTTTAAGGTAGCTGTAATTAAATCTCTCCTAAAAAAGCTCACCCTGGATCCAGAGGTGTTAGCCAACTATAGACCAGTATCTAATCTTCCCTTTCTTTCAAAGATCCTTGAGAAAGTAGTCGCAGACCAGCTGTGTGATTTTCTCCATGCTAATAATTTATTTGAGGAATTTCAGTCAGGATTTAGAGTGCATCATAGCACTGAGACAGCACTAGTTAAAATTACAAATGA